TTCTTTTCACATTCTGACTCACTGTAGCAATTCTGGAAGTTTGTATTTAAGCATAGAATCAGTTGGGTTTGTTGTGTTTTGATTGGAGTTTTTTAGTTTGTGGGGGTTGGTTTGTTTATATGTGGTTTTCTCAGGTGAGTGTTTTGTTTGAGGTTTTTTTAAGAATTTAATAGAATCAAGAAGCATAAAAGCCAAAAATTGTACAACACAAACCCAGTTTATCTCTTGGCCTTCTGATCATAAATAAAAATCACAAAGTACCAGAAGCACAATTACATTTGTTAAGTACAGTTTTGTAAAGCCTTTAAAAATTTCACACACACTTCAAGGAGATTTAACTAGTGTGAACAAACATTGTTCATAACAGGAATGACAATCATCACTTCTTTTACAACATCCTATTAAAGCAACCAGCACAAAGTGTCCTGACTGCATTCATATCAACTGAACTATATTCTTTGGCTCAGTCTTAAGGAGTTTCTTCTTTTACCTGTTCAGTTAAGCCACCACAGAAAAGCAATTACCAGTCCTTTTATTCATCTAGATCACCTGATGTTATCACAGTATGTTATAAACTGATACCATCCTTATCTCTAATATTCATAACTATCTAGCTCAAACTTCTGCTAATTAAGACATTGTGTAACAAGATTTCATTTTTTGTGTTGCAAGTTTAAAATCATAACTGTAAGAAAGTTATTAACCTAATAATAACTTGGAAATATCTCCCTGGCAGCTGTTCCAAAATATCTTCCCTGTCTTGAATATTCAGTATACTGTCCTCTTTACACTCTTCCTGGAAAACAAACACTTGAAAACATCTTTAGTCACCCTCTTTCAACCACTAAGCCAGTAATTGATTTAAAATGTCACTTCAACACTGAAAATCAGTTGTCAGCACCATGGACACATCTACAGTGGCCCATCTGTACAGACCAAAGGTTGCTCCTCACAGCCTAATCCAGAAATGAGCAGTGCAAACAGTTTAATGCACAAGCAAAGCTTTCAAGACACAACCCACCTAAGAGACAAAAATAATTTGTGACACACATAGTGGGGGAATATGTTCAACCTAATAAGCCTCGTTGAGAGATCAGTTTATTTACCCAGGCAGAATGCCCACCAAATATGACTCTACAGCTTCCAGTCTTGACCTGGCAAGTGTAGCCTGCCTGTGAAATTCCTGACTCAGGGCTTGCTAACTGCCATGTCTGTATCATGCTTCAATTTATGATGTAGATGAGCTCATCACCCCTTTTAGTTCCATATGCCAAGATGAGGAGGAATGACTTCACTTTAAACCACAGCCATACAAGCTTTTTCCTGAGGGAGCATAAGTATGCTACTTAACATCCCATTTGCTTAGGAAATAAAGTAATCAATAACAGTCTAGTCTTGGTTTTTAGGTTTTGACAGCTTCAAAGTTCCAAATTAGGTACAGGATTTATAACTTAGGCTTGTTAGTGATTCTCCACTCAATAATGGAATAAATTACAAAGACAGTCAGAAGCTATCATCACAAAAATACAACTTTCCTTTACTACAGTATTGCATGGATTTAATTCTGTATTTTAAAATAATGTTTGAATTTCTAAGAACATAATTGAATATTTTTAAAAGGGTATTCACCTGGGTACACCTCATCTTCAACCTTCCATTTTTGATCCCTCATGCTGCACAGGTACTGAGATGTTGTTCTCGGGAAGCGATGGTAGGCAAGGCGTGAGTACTTCTCTCGGATGAGCAGAGCTTTCACCAGGCTCTTGGCAGCTTGTTCATAGTCATCCACTGTAACCTGGAAGGAAAACCTGGATAAATACTGGGAAAAATAGCAGTTCTAGCATAGAAGCGTGTGGGGCTTGACCATAAGGATCTTGCCCAAGGTGTCAGTAAGCCAGTGACAGAAGCAGAATCCAAACACAATATACAAAACACAGACAAATGTTTTTATTCTACTGTATATTACCTATTTATTGAACATCTGATTATGTTTTGATCAAATCTATTATTAAAAAGAGTATAAAACAACCTGACCTTAACTTCTAACTGTCTAACAAATCCCTGTATTCAGAAAGCAATTTAGATTTTGTTGCAGAGAGCCATCATATTGGCATTTTACACTTGATGTACATATATGGGAGCTTTTTTACACCCTCTAGATACAGAAAGTGAGAAAACAATAGTTTCTTACCCCTGCACAGTAGTCCCCACTAATTGAAACTCTCTGGAATTCTGGTACATCGTATGGCACTTGGACTGGCACAAAAGCACTTGGAAGAACTGGCGTTGCAGGAGACAGGACTGGTTTGGCCGGTGGTGCTTTCCATTCCTGAGGTGGAATTTGTAATGACAAAGACTGGGATCTAATCATCTTGAAACTTTTCTTCCTAAGAATTCATGGTATAAAACATAAAATAAGCCATGGTATAAAACACTTAATACACTGGAAAACTGATTACAGCAAAATCACCCCCTAGGAAATTTTACTAATGAAAAATACTGATTTTTTCATACCACAGAAAAAACACTGCTCAGAAAGTACTTGTGCTTTAACCTTCTTTGTATTGACATTTCACATAATCTACACCAGACACAAGTTGCATTTACCCTCTACATGAGTCCAATATGCCACAATTTATTTACAATCACTCTAAGATACCCTAAGGTTTTTGTTTCACTTCTCACAACTTCAGTTTCAGCAGAAGTGACTGTGCAGAAGGAAAAGGTGATCACTGTGCTCTCTTCAGTAAGGGTCAATTCTTACAGACTGACAGCATCAGAACTCATGAAGGATCAGACAGAAACAAGTCAATGCTACATATGGAAATTGTTCTAAGTTATCATGCTCTTACACACACTTCCCATTCTTCCCAAAACTTGCAAGACCTAAAGCTCATCTAGTTGTCAGACAAGAGTAGGCAACAAAATTTCATATACAGTCATTCAGTTCAACTCTTAAGGAAAAGGAGGAGCATCTATTTATTCCTTAGGCAGTGTTTGATGACACTTGAGCAGAAGGCTGATGTGGTTATCAGAGTGATACCACAGCATGGCTTTGATACACAAGTCCATTCCTCCCTTCAGGTGGAACTCACATAAATTTAAAAATGCTGCCTTTTCTCATGAAAGCTGTGATAGATGTGCCCCTCAGATAAACCAGCTAAAAAAGAACGCTGTGTTTTCCAATGAAGTAATTGGAATATCTCTGAAGATGGAATTAATTTTCCTTACTCAGTTTAAATGTGCTCATGTGTATTTTAAATATTCATATAATATATAAATAGTATGTTATAAACTACCTGTGATAACCATTTCTTTTGCACTGAAATAGTCCCTACTTTTCCAAGTTAGATACCAAAACCTTAAAATGTTAGTAAGAATCACTAACAAAGAAAAAGGAACACTGGAACATTCTCTAAAGCTTAATATTACTTCCGGGGTATTCCTAAGAATAAGAACATGCAGTGCTGGTAGAATTAACACCCAAATTTCATCCATCTGCAGCCACCTTGGAAATCAGCATCAGTTTTGAAAGGCAGTGTTTGATCAACTGAAACTGGAAACAGCACAAGCTGTACTTGTGTCACTGTCCCTTCAGTCCTGCAGGACAGGGATGAACACTTGTTCTGTTCCTGCATGTAAACAAAATACCTATAATACCTCTTCCTACAGTTAAACCTGTACAAAACCTGAGTTTGTTTCCGTGAGACAAATTTTCCAAATTAAAAATGAAACAGACTACTTCAGGAGGAAATATATACCAAACATTTGTTTGACTGGAAACATCTGGTTTTCCCTTCTGTGCCTGTTTATGTCTATGAACATGCCAACTGGGAAATCCACTTGCACAATTCCAAACCCAAAGTCTTAGCTTGTATCATCAGTGAGTCATACCTTAATTTAACTAAATTGACTCTTCTCCCTTCTGTTCCAGAAACATGATTCCAAGTGTTGCCCAACTGTCTTTCTGCAGCTAACCAGGTACATGTGTTTAGCTATCACTTTCAAATGCTTTCTTGCCTGCCTGCTTTTTGAAGAGTCTGTACACGTCCAGCCCATTTGGTGTCAGGCTGCTGCTGAGCTCATGTGACTCCAGAAACAGCCCAGCAGTCCTGTGAAGCAAGACACTGGAACAGGCTGACATCAGGGGAAGGCAGCCTCTCTTACAGAATAAAAAAAAAACACCTCAAACTCACAAACAAGCAAGTTTGCCTTCATTAAAGCCATGGGTAAACCAAAGGTAGAATGCAATTTTTTTTTTGTTTAATGTGCACTTTTGTGGCTGACAGTGGTTAGATTTTTATCTCTGTGAGTAAAGAAAACCTACAAATAACCTCATTATGCCAATACCACTTTTCACCTTACCCCTTGATCTTAAATATAAATTCTTTGCTTTCATCTATTTTTGCAGAGACTAAAGGAAGTATCATGCCACTGTCATTTTCTCTGTGTTAAAATTTTCTGTTTCTCTTAATGAAACTAGAAAAAGAGGAGGCAGTGTTTCTTTTTCTGACTCTTCTTACATTAAAGATTCCTAGGGTTTTGTTCATTTCTACCCAGCTATGCTCTTTATTAAATTTGCATGAGCAATATCTGTGCTATTGCTGGGAACAGAGCTGAGACAACCTGACCACTCCAAGCTCCCTGGGGCCCATCTGATACCTCCTTCACAGGACAGAAGGACATCCCAGGGGGGTCCTGGTGCCTGCTGCTGACCTTTCTCCTGGAGCAGTAAGAGGCAGAATGCTGTTTGCCAGGTATTGCAATACTAACTCAAACTCATTTCAAAAACTCTTTTCAATGAAGAAAGCAACTACAGAACAAACCTTTTAGCTGTTTCCACAGACTGCTGTTCTGCCAGCTCCTTCTGCAGCTCCCTCTCCTTGGCCTCCTTCTGCCCAATAGGGCAGTCTTCAGGCACGGTGAAGAGTGACAAGGCATCCTTGCTGTCTTCTTCTCGCAGGACTTTGGCAAACACCTTCTCTGCCAGGAGCCGCACCTGCTCATCCACCTCGGAAATGTTCAGCTTGGGAAACTGCCGGGGCATCTCGCCTGAGAGGAGCACAGGTGAGAAAGTTAGGGGTACAGCATGAGGGATGAGGAAGATGGGCAAGAGATTGGGGGTTTTTCCATGGTATGCCTATCAAAATTCCGAGCTTGGAGCAAAATCAGAAGAAAGTAGAACAGCTCTGCAGAATTTAAACTAGCATGCAGTACACAAGAACCACAAAGCAGCTCTGCTTTTGGAGCCATGCTAATTTGTGCATCAGGAACCTTGTGGTATACCCACAAAAATTTCTAAGCAATTTATGTAGAGATTTACCAGGAGATTCCACTTACTTGAAGAGTCAAACAGACACTTATTTGTGACACAATGGATACTCAGCTGTGTGTCCTTGCACCGAACCTGGAAATCACATTCACTCAGTTGCTTGCCTTCTTCCTTGCTCAGTGACTTCAAGCCAACAGGCAAGTTAGAAAAGAAGGTTGTACATTTCCACCTCTCCCCATCCCTTGCACAAATCAGAAAGTCACAGAACTGCTGGGAAGTGGAATAGTTGTACAACAAGAACAAAGGTACTACAGTTAACTTGGTGACTCTTTTTTCCATTTGTAGTAGTTCATATCACATTTTTGAATGCATGTGGCATGCACATAGGTCATGGACTTCCATTTCTACTTGGCATTTAAATATTACTTTTCAAAAAGAATAGGTTTTATGTTTTAAAATTTTAAGTAGCTAGGCTTTCATCATAAAATATTTCCGTTTTATGCTAGCATCACTACTAAAATGCCATCTTTATTGTTTCTTCTGTAGTCTCCTGGCTTTACTTTTATCCCATTTTCATACAATCCAGAATGTGCATTTAGCACAAATGGAAGCATTCCAGAGAGGAAAAAACACAGTGCTGATAAGCTACAGACCAGCATTATTTGTTGTGTACTATAAAGCTTTCTGAATGCCTTCAGTATGATGGAGTTTATAACAAATAAGATTAAATTCTTATTACATAAGTTAAAAATAGCTGCGAACATGTCACAGCAAATGGATCCAAGCACTGCCAGAATGTGAAGTCTGGGTCCAAAATTGGCATTTCAGAATTTCTAACCATTTTTTGGTTAGAAAAATGCAAGTGTATTTTGTGAGACAGCTTTAATTTAAATAACGACATACCCTGGAAGCATGGAGCGTGGCAGTTTTTTATCTCTCCAGGCACAACTTATCAGGGCCCCCATTACAATTTTTCTGTAGGCATGCTGCAGGTTTCAAGTGTTGATATGTGATCCTGTTGGTTTCAGCCTAAAAGACTCTAATTAATGTCCACCGGTTTTCACAGTTGCTTTGAGAACATTTTTGCTTTTATTCTAAAAGCAAATGTAGTATGAAAAGGTGGCAAGAATTAAATTGGACCATAACACAGCAATTTAGTGGTCCCCTACATTACTTTGCATTCTTATTTTATAAGAACCCATACACATCCCCAAAGAAAAGCATCTCTGTTTTTAAAGAGCTGTGGATCTGACTGTGTTGTTTTCTGCACAGGAGAGTATTTGTTTTGCAATTAGTATTTGTCTTTGTAAAGTCTTTGTAAAAGCAAGTATAACTACATAGGAAATTTAAAGATACATATATTTTTAGCTGAATAATTCAGTGACAATGCACTACCATATCTTAGTAGCATCAGAACTTAGGTTTGGTTTCTCAATATCAACCGCCAAGGAAGTCATGGGAGTCTGTCTCCTGACCTCACTGAACACAGTTGTCAGCAGCAGAGCCTGCTACACATGCAGCTGCCAGCAGCAAGAGCCTTTTGGGCTGCTTCAGCCAGGGAAAAACTCCCTTTATGCTTACTTAACTACAGTAAGAGTGCTAACAATACTAGTACAATGTGAAATAATGAGTTTTTGACTGAGCAGAAAATGCTGAGCAATTTCCTAGTTTAAATGAGCTTTTTCCTAGAGAATTGTGATCACAAACAGAAATGCAGTAAGAAACACGCTGCCTGAGAAACAACACTGTGTTTTAAATCCTTACAATATGGTAGTGAAGAGACAGAGAGTATAGATGGAAGTACAATCCTCTACTGACACCAAAGTTTTTTTTCTTTCTTACAGAACCCAAGCTCATGCTCTCCAGTCGAGCATAAGATGCTAAGACACAGAATACTTTGAAATGTACATTCACCCACATCACTGCTAGCTCATGGCACTGAAACGAGGCAAATAAACCTAAAACGGTCATGAGGCACCTCAAGCAATACTTGTGTGAGCTGTGCCATCCTGAAGTGGAAGAGGCTTTTGTATCCAGTATCCTTCTATTGAACTGCTGTCCTTTGCCCAAGGTGAGCAACAACTAGATATTGTTATGGGATGGGAAATGACATAAATGCCACCCAGTAAATGCTCTTTTCCTAAAAATCTCGATCTAATAGAAAGGTTGGTTGCTCATTAGGTCTGCACCTATACAGAAGAAAAGAAAGCTTGAAACATGCTGCAGTAAAAAAAATATTAATAGATAGAATGATTACTTAAAAAGCAATTATCGATCAGGCATTTAACGGCCTAGAACCTATACCAAACACATGCCAGAGCCGCCTCCGAGCCCCGCGGGC